TCTCAAATTCTAATGTAGTATCGGTTTACATTGCAAATTATATGTCATCCATTAAATTTTGTATAATATCCTTTATAGTATGATGTAATTCAATTTCTTTATCATTTACTTGTGTTCGTGAAATATTTGAAATTTGGAATGAAACAATTAACATATTAAGAACATTCGCAGGATCCACATGTAACATTTTGCTTAAATTAAAGATACAGATACTTTTTCCGAAAATTAAAACTCTGACGATCTTACACTTGAATGAATCGTTAAACTTATTGGTTACACTTTATACTACAACTGCGCGCAATATTTCCGATTTATATAGAGTCTTATAATCTTATTTACATATTCCTTACATAACAGTTTGTAAATGAGGAAAATTACTTCAAAATATTCTTACGTTGCAGTGCAACGTGACTACTTTGCATTAGAGTTATGCGTAAATGAATGATATGTATGCGATATAAATATACAACATGAGATATAAAACGCGTTTTATATCGTTGCATTTCGATGGTTTTTCACGTCATGTCCCACTGCAATGCAGAAATATTTCAAAATAATTCTCTATATTCAAAAAATTCGATGATGTAATCTTTCATAAGTTAAGGAATGGAAAAACATGTTCAATTGAGCAAAATAATCAAGATTTTTATTACGAATATAAAAACATAACCAAATAAATGATAAAAAAAAAATATTTTATATTTTATATAAAACTAGCTTTAAGCCCGCGCTACGCGAGGAAGTACATTTTTTTTTTTGCAAAAGGGAATAATACGTTATATATACCCCGCCACCAGGTGTGCCGAGGTAGTGTGGGACTCTCACCCACTAATAACCCTCTCTGTACACGACTTCCTTAGGTCAAAACTGACAATCTTGTTCCTTTTTGCGACATAGCAATCTAAAGGCCAGTTTAACATTATATAGTTTAGTGTCTATGTGTGTCAGTCTGTATTATGAATAAAAATTTATACCCTTTTCAAATAAAAGAACCCCATCATTTACCCGCTATTTAGAATATATTATTTTTTTTAAGGCTGAAGTATCCACTGCTGACCCGCTATCATTGGCTCTCATACAATTTTATAACTCATCAATTTACAAAACCTTTCGGTATATGACATTTGTCGTAAAAGAGTTAGGATTTCCCTCAATAAGATGTCCTTGATTGCTGAGCTCATCAACTTTAACTTTGACAGTTCCCCTTTTGGTTGCTCTAGAGAATGATACATAGAGTTGTCCATGAGCAAATACGGGATGTGGCAGATAAATTCCAACTTTTTGTAAAGTTTGTTCCTGAGATTTATTGATTATTATAGCAAATGACACTCGAATAGGAAACTGTCTCCGTTTAAGCCTGAACGCAAGTTCCGAGTCATTTGAAAAGAAATCGATCCTTAGGAGGAAGATAATCTGAACTCGAGCAGGACCAGTCAATTATAACCGGTTATCTAACACCCGTGCAAGAACCGAGCTCGTGATTTTTGATGCCGCGCGGACGACGCGTTATCGTTGATACGATACAGGCAATGACACTTTCAGTTTACAGTCATATAACTTCTATGTCGATGATTTCTATAGTTCGGCGGATGCTATGTGCCATAAAAAGTTCATAATGTGCGATTCGATCGCCATAAACCTCACATTCGAATCCAAACTTCTTATTTTCTCATAAATAACTTTATTTCGAAAAAATTACTATCTGGAAAATACAGAATATAAAGACCATCCGTGAAGTGGCAACCGTAATATGACATGATGCGATGCGAAACGGATACGGTTTCCCAAAATAACTATAACTACAAAATTTTTGGAAGTCTGCGACAAAGGCAAAAAAAATATCTAGAATATATCAAAATGTATAATAGAACATAAAAATCGTAGCCATCCCCGGAAAATTAGCAAAATTTTGGTACCAATTTCGAGAAAATCGGTCCATAAATGTGAAACATAGTGTGTGGATACGTGGGTGGGTGGGCTGTGGTGTAAAACTAAAAAAAACCACATAGTAGCCACCCCGAAAAATTCGAAAAATTTTGATACCGGTTTCAAGAAAATCGGCCCATAAATGTAGAAGTAGTTCGCGATCAGACAGACAGACAGACAGCAGCTACTTATATACAGGGTGGTCCTCGTAACGGTCGCCACGATTTTTCAGGCACTTACAATAATCTGACATAAAAAAGTCATAAACAGAAATTTATCAGTTTCTAACCGGCAACAA